ACACACACACACACACACACACACACACACACACACACACACACACACACACACATGTTCATTAATATGACTTCAGATTTTATAGTTCCTCTACACCCATACCACCCTGACACCCAATCTCATCAGATTCTATAGTTCAATCTTTAAGAAATTCAACTTGTTGAGTTTTGGTACAGAAACAAAGAATAACTCCAATTATCTGAAAAGATCATGAAAATACCATTCCTCTTCTTTACTAATAACTGTCTGTGTGAGGTCAAATTTTTAGCATATACTTCAACCAAAATAATATATCACAACACACTCAGTAAAAAATGATTTACAAGAACCTAGCTGTTTTCTGTTATGCCAAATTTTAATTAAAACAGATGTACAGAAATGCAAGACAGTGCTACTTTTCTATTTCTTATGATTGTTTTTTTCATTAATACATATTTATATTAACTTGTAATGAACTTAAAAGTACTACTTTTAAATCAATTAATTTTTTAATATCTTCCTTTAATTTCTAAAAGAGAAACCCACATGAACAAAGGCTTTTTGGGAGTCCAAAGTAATTTTTAAGAATATAAGAGTCCCAAGACCAAAACATTTGAGAATAAATAACACAGACTGCAAATTGAGATGCATGGGTTGTAGTTTCAGCTTTGCTCTTCCTTAACTACTTGAGACCCTTCCTCTGAAAAAGAGGTTAGGACTAAATGACTTGTAAGATCCAAGTGAAGTCTGTAGGGTTTTTGTGGTTCTTTTCATTTTTGAGACAGGGTCCAGCTATGTAGTTCAGGCTGGCCTTGAACTCACTATGTAGCCCAGGCTGACCCTGAACACAAGGTGATCCCCCTGCTTCAGACTCCGAAGTGCAGGGATGACAGGCGTGTGCTACTGCACCAGGTAAGTCTGCAGTTTTCCATTCCTTACCTTAAAGTTGTAGATTTCATTGTAACAGTCAGCACTTTTCAGAAACCAGGTTATATTTAAAGACTGATCACAAGGTTCTCCATCAACTACAAAAGAAATTACTGTGAATAAAAGAGGATTTCCAAACAAAGCATTTTTTTCTTAAATGTATTTTAATTTTTTTTTCTTTTTCTGGTAGCAGGGATCAAACTCAGGACCTTGCACTTGTGAGGCAGGTGGGGTGCCACTAAGTTAAATCCCCAGTCCAAAGCATTTTTTTCTTAGAAGCAATTTCCTATTAGCCCCTATCCTAGTTATTTTTTAACCTGAGATATTCAAGGACCTTCCTTTTTCCAAGCATAAGGAAGTAAAGTAATATTTTTCCAGATAAAAGTATTGTTGTTCACTGGGGGAAAAAAAAGAAGTTAGGCAGTGTTTCATCCTTTTGAAACTGTGGGTTTATTTCTGTCTTAAAACATCAAATTTTAGGGCCAGGAATTTACCTGAATGGTTCTTCTGCCTGCCTCACAAGCACAAGGACCTGAGTTTGATCCCCAGTACCAAAAAAAAACAAAAACATCAAATTTTAGATCTCTATTAGAAAAAGCCTGGGAGTAAGAAAGCAGTCCTAAATTAAAAGCAGTCTGCTATTATTCAAATACTTACTGAACAAAGCACATATATACAAGGATATAACAGCACAAAGCTGGACCAAAGAGAGGAATGGAAAAGAACAAATTCTTAAAGTTCTTTTAAAAAGCCATACTCCAGGGCCGGGGATTTAGCTCAGTGATGCCAGCGCCTGCCTGGCAAGTGCAAGGTCCTGAGTTCGATCCATGGTTCTGTTTGGTTTCTTTTTTGGTACCAGGGATCGAACTCGGGTCCTTGTGCTTGCCAGGCAGGCGGCAGAACCACTGAGCAAAATCCCCAGCCCAATCCATGGTTCTGGAAAAAATTAAAATAAAAAGCCACACTCCAGTTGAAGAGACACAGACTAAGAACACCAGGGATGTCAAGAGGCAATATGCATGACTGTTAAATGGTGGTACACTGAGGGAAAAATTCATTTGAATCTTGAATGACTCAAGATAAAGCAATGAACAAAAAAATCAAACATGGCTGAGGAAGTTAGAAATTAACAAAATCAAAACATAAAGAAGATAAAGAAAACCAGCCTTTTTTTTTCAAAGTTCACCTTAAGAAAAACCTTATGAAACTGAAAGCTTCACATAACTCATTAAAATAGAGATTGGGAAACAATATTCTAATAGAGCAAAGCGTTATTCTGGGATGTGGAGTGTAGCTCAGTGGGAGAGGCTCACCTAGCATGTCTGTGGCCCTGGGTTCAATTCATAACACTGGAAACATTTGTAAAAGGCATCACTTTGACAGCCCAATTGCCCATCAACTGGAGAATGGATAAAGAAGATGTGTTGTTGGGCTTTTTTAAAATATAAAATAGAGTACTACTCAGCCATAAAGAAAGAGAAACTAGAGACATTTATAGCTAAATGGAAGCATATTGAGGCCATACTCTTAAGTGTCATAGAGGACACACATGTGTAAATACTGAATAGTTTCTCTGGTTTGAGAAACTTAAAGTGTAAATAAGGATCAAAATGTATAATAGATAATGTGAAATAGGAAGAAAAGGTCTAAAGGAAAAGGGGAACCGAGAGGGGCAGGGGAAAGGAAAGAAGAGAAAGGAAAAAATACGAGAAAAAGAAAAATGGAAACAAAGTCTTTGTAAATAGGGAAGGGTGGAGGGGTTCAAGGGAGGGCAGGGGAATGAGGAAATAATAACCAAGATACATCATGTAAAGGGTAAAATTCCCAACGAAGAACGTCACTGTACTGTATATGAAAATGTACCAATAAACTTTAAAAAAAAAGGCATCAGTTTGAAGACATAAGAATGCAAATCTGACTATATCACTGATATGTTTTCTCAACTGCAGGAAATCAGCATTCACTTTATTTTTCATTCCAAATGTAGAAGAGATAACAGACTAAAGACTAGCTACTTTATGCAAACGTAACAGAAATAAACCTGACTGTGCTTAGGTATGAACTTTGGGTTCATAGCAAACTGAAGCAACCTAATTACAAGCTTCCCTTTTCTTTGTTTTAAATTGTTTTTTCAAACTATTTTTATTTATTTTGGCTTTTTGAAATAGTTCAGGTTGGTCTTGAACTCACAGCAATTCTCCTTACTCAGCCTCCTGAACACTAGGACTACAGGCATGTGACACCAGGTCCAGCTTTCAAACTAATTTTGAATGACCAACACATTTTCACAGGGCTGTGCCAGAATGTCCAAATATCTGACAAGCTGAGTAGAATTTATGGAAATTATACACAAGATACTACAATTTGACTATGTTCTATTGAGAAACCATAGAGAGATAAAGTTAATTAGAAGTCAGTAACATCCCCTCAACAAAAGATGCACAGGAATTTAGCTGCAAAAATATTACTATTTATGTTAAAAGATAACTAGGACAAAGTCTAGAAGTTTGAATGGAAGTCCTTAAGAGACAATGAAAATGGTTCTGCCCATGCCCACAAGCTATATACACCATACCCACAAAAGCATAAAATCAAAGACAACAGGTAAATATGAGAGCACAGAACAAGATAAAAGTGTAATTTTTAAAGAGCCTGAAATTCTCCAAAAACAATAAAATGTGGACACTTAAAAATATGCAGCTTATTTAACTTGGTAAAATACCATTAAATCAAAACACACGTTAGAAAAAGAGTGTCCATAATAAAAAAGAAAGAATGGACTGTTGGACTATTCCAAGAAACAAAAATCCTGCTATCCCAAATAACTACTCTTACCCAGTAAACCAATCTCACGAAAAAAGGACAGTGTGTCACAGTAGACTTGATTTAAATCAAATTTAAGCCATTAATTAAAAGCATCATTCCACGATATACGCACACCCATGTTTATAGCAGCAGTTTGTAATAGCTAAATACTGGAAACAGCCCAAGTGCCCATCAACTGATGTATGGATAAAAATAACAGTTTTTTATATAATGGAGTACTACTCCACCATACAGAAGGATGAGCTTCAGACATTTATAGCTAAATGAATGGACCTTGAGACCATACTCTTTAAGTGAAATAAATTGGACACACATTTAAATACCACATTATTTCTCTGGTATGAGAAACTGAATGTGGAAATAAGGGCTGAGATGTATAATGGATGTTGGGAAATGGGAAGAAAATATTCAAAAGGGAAGCAAAACAAAGGAGGGGGAGGGAGAAAGGAGGGATGAGAAAAGAAGTGAAAAAATAGAAGGAAAAAATGGAAACAAAGCTTTTGTACATAGGGAGAGGAGGGGGTTGGGGGAATGGGATAAAATTAAATTTATTAAACAAAACTTTTGTAATGCTCAGAAAAGGCTTTTGTGATGCTTCACAAAATGAAATCCCTTGAAATCCTTTATAAAGTGAACCCACCTCATAAAAAAAAAAATTAAGTCATTAGTCAGATTCTATTTTCATGGATCTAGAAATTCTACCTCTACTTTCAGCCTACTATAAATGTAACATTAATGAAAAAAGGAAATTTTTCTACCACTTCCCTGGTGTCTAAAACAGAGTACCCAGGCCAATGATACACACCTATAATCCCAGCACTTGGGAGGCTGGGGCAGGAAGATCACATTGAGTTCAAAGTCAGCCTGGCTACATAGTGAGTTCAAGGCCACCTTGAACTACATAAGACACTCAATAAATAAAGTCAAGCAAGTACCCAGCACACAGCAAGTATTTAACAACTATTAAACAATTAAAAGAATTAAAATCCTCCAGCTGTACATTTTCATGGAGAGGTAAATTGAGAAGTACACATAAATGATCTGTATTTTTGACCTTCATCTCAACATAGAACTTCCCATAACTATTCTCTAAAATAAAGTCAGTTTCAGAACCAAAAGCTTTTTTAAAAAACAAACTGTGATAACTTAGGTTGCCCCACTAGACAAACTCGTTTTTTCTACATAATCCCTATTTCCTAGGGACATCCCGGAACTTCCTCAAGGTGATAAAACACTCCTTTGGTAAATAAAAGATCTACTGAATATATTTGTTCTGACCCAGTTGTCTAACAAACTTAGGTCATGTTTTCAGTAAGTGCCTAACAAGCATTCAAGAATATAATCAGTGGTACCTGTTATGATTCCAAACAGATTAAAATATCAGTCTGGTAATCAACCAACACACAAAATATAACTGTGATTTAATATATAATTAATATATATAAATATGGTATTTGTATGTGTATTCAGAGTCCAAAAAAAATGTACACACTTCAGGAAAAGTAAAACAGAACAATTTTTTTCCCCCAACAGACGGTTTTACCCTCAGATGAGGGGCCCTACAGGATGTCATATATCACAGAAAACCCACTACATGGCCAACCCTTAGAAAAGAAATTGAAAATACAATTGCAGCAATCTTGATTACCAAGGTTACTCAAACAGCAGTTCGTCATACTAATAAACACCTGGTAGCTAATGGTCACCACTTTGAGCACCTCTTGCAATTGTAGAACAAAGGTTACTTGTATTAATCTTAAGATGTCTCAATAAATTTAGTATTAAAATATTTATACAAATTTTTCTGTATCCAATGTACACATTTTTTGGTGGACTCTGTAAGTTACGGCTTGTGTTCAGATGTAACCCCAATGCCTCAGGTGGTCATAGGTGGGGCTTTTTCCAGAGGTGGCTGGATCTAGAGTATGTGATGCTGGAAATGATTCATGGTGTAATGCTAGGCTCAAAGGCACTAGATTTAAATGTGTGAGTGTCACCTGCCCTAAGTAGCTTGGATAAGATATAAGGAATAGAAAGAGCTGTGGTTATCCATTGCTGCTTTGTTATCTTCTGCCCACCATGAACTGTTTCTGTTCTGTGATGCGATCCTCCCTTGGAGCCAGCCAATTATGGACTGAAATCCTACAAACTGCTCTAAGTAAACTGTTCTTCCTTTAACTTTGGGTATCGAGTATTTTGTCTCAACAAGAAAAGTAACTAAGACACTATATACAAATACACATACTACACAGCATTATATATTCAGCACAAATACTCAATATAGTATATAAAACAAGTATACTGTATGTAGTATGTATAATGTATACAAAATTACACATATTATATGTATTATGTATTATTTATAGTGCATGTGTATATATAAAAGATAGTAAACTGAAAAACAAGGGAAGAAAATAAAGTTCATACAAGTATTCTACATATTTAATGAAAGGGCCTGAGGTTTAATAAATGTTTATACCTAGACCATCTTGGACTACTAAAATTCAGAACTTATCCCAGCACTCAGGAGGCTGAGGCAGGAGGATCGCTGTAAGTTCGAGACCAGCTTGGGCTACACAGTGAGTTCCAGGTCAGTCTCAACTACATAGTGAAACCCTGTCTCAAAAAAAAACCCCCAAAAAACCCAAAAATAAATAAATAAACAAAAGTCAGAACTTAAAAATGTGTGCCAAGTAGGTTATCTGGGGTAATAAGTAGGTGATTAAGAAGTTTCTAACTAAAAAATTCAAAAACTCACATTTCAAGAAGATAGTGGTATTTCTGAAGAGGATCTTTCCAAAACTAAAATAATTTTTTCCCTGAAAAGATAAAAGAAGATAATTAACATCAGAATGTTTCAATTCCCAAGACAGCATATACCTAAATTTATAAAATACTTAAATTGGTTTTCTAACTAAAACATGAACAGCTACTTTTAGTGAAATTCCAACACATACAAATGGCAAAATATGCTTAAAATAATCATTTTCATAAAAATCTATTATTTCACTTTAAACCTAAAAAGACTTAACTATTAATCCTTGTATTAACAAGTAAAATTTAAACCTGAAGATCTTTAAGCTAATCTTGGCATATAAATTTACAATCAGCGAGCAGAAAGAAAAATACCAACATGTTTTTTTTTTTTTTACCACTATCTGTATTTGGTTTTGTTCTTCACAGAAATATACCTTACTCAAAGAAGTTTGCAAACATGGGAGGGGCAGAAGAAATTAATCTTTACATTTCAGTTGTTTATTCTATGTTAATCATTCCTGTTTTAAACATATTTTCCCTATGCTTCCTAATGGCCACACAGCAAATCTTGAAATAACTATTTCAAAGTTTAACCGAAATCAATCCACCTCGTAAGTAAAAGCACCCAGAAACAAACAAAAGTGCAGAGGGGGGGAAAAAAAAAAAGCTCATTTATATATCCCCCATCCAACCCGGGGTCACTGGGTTCTATGAAACTTCAGCTCAAAGTAAGTTAGTTATCTATCTGTACATCGAGTTTAACCCACTCCATCTGTACTCCCAAATTAGGCGCTGAAAGTTCTGTCACTTTCCTGATGAAAAACCTCTCCACAACTCCTTTCCGCTGCAGGAGGGGCCCCGGCATTCCCCCCAGCCTACCCACGCAGTGCGAGACTTTCAACTTGGGTAGATGGATCTCGGTTCGGCAGCACACAACCGGAATCACACCCTTTTGCAGAACCTTCGTGGACCCCTCGGACCGCCGTAGCCCCACCTCCCGCTCCTCCGGACTCGGTCACTACTGTTAACACTTACAGACGGTATCGGAATGTGCCACTTGGATCTATCGGCAGCAGACACGGATGCCGGTCCTGCAGCGAAAAGCGACAGTGGGAACTGCTGTCTCCCGAGAAGAATGACAGGCAACAGCTGAAGCCACGCAGCAACCGCCATCTTCAGAGCCTTGGAGCGCTCACGAAAAGCATTGCACCTCCTTCCGGTTCATCCCGCCCGCTTCCGGCCTTGCGCCGAGGGCGGATCATCCGGGTCCTCAGATAGCGCTGGGCTGGTTTGTTTTAGTTACTCAGACGTTGCTCCCGGCTCCGCGTCAGATTTGCAACCTACTGCGCAGGCGTCATCCTGTCAAGCCGGTCGGCCGAGTTAGGATGGTCACCAGAAGCCGCTCTGGCCTCCAGTTTCTCTCCTGCTCCTATCCCCTAAGGGTATGGGGACCAGGCAGTCACTCAGTGCAGTGTTCGCCTCTCTCCCCCGGCTCGCCCCAGCCCCCTCACCCCTCTCACGTCAGAGTCGGACGTCCGGAGTCCAAAATCTGGAGAAGCAGTGATTCTGGCTGCCTGGTGGCGTCTAGTAGTGAGCTCTCGGCTTTTGGAGCTATTGAAAGCAAAAGCCGGAGTTTGACAGTGAGAAAGTAGAAGCGACCTCTAGACTGGATTGTGTGACACATAATTTTCACAGACCCCCATCTCATCCTGCAAAGTAGGAAGCTGCAGGAGCGCTGGCCCGCGACGTCTCCTAGAAATTCCTTCGGCCGGCACTTTCTGCTCAAAACTAAACGAGGCGCTGCAGCGACGGAGCCGCAGCTTCCCTCCACTCGGTGAGGCCGCCTCGGTTCTGCCCGACATTCAGCTCTACTTCTGCCTTCCAGGGTTCATCACGTCTGCGCCTTCTCTGCTCCAGAGGTGCCTAATAAAAGTACGGCCCACATCACCCAGCTATAATCGAGAAAAACTTGCCGACCGTATAATCCTGTAGAAACGCTAGTTTGAATCCGAAAAAAACAAAAACAAAAAAACAGGAGTAAGAGTCAAGATTTATTGCTCTATACGGATCCGGAGGGGACTCTTTCCCGGAAATTTGACGATGGTGAAGTGCTAAGACCGCTCAGTGGATTTTTTAAAATACCACCAGAGACCGTGTTGAGAGCTGGGAGCTAGTCAGAAGTGACAGGGAAGCCATGGAAGCAACTGGGAAAGAGGAAATCAGGTAAAGACTGAGTGCTGGGGCCCAACTAATCCCAGGGCAGGACTGAAAGCCTTAGGTTTCATTGATTTTTCTCCTTATCCCTGGTGCTGGGGATCTAACTCAGGGTTGCTGTACCCCTAAGCTACATCCCCATCCCTATTTATTCATAGAAATGATCTTGTTAAATCTTCTAAACTGGCCTATAACTTGGGAGCTTCCTGCCTTAGCCTCCGGAATAGCTGGAATTAATCGTGTGCCACCTTCCTGACTCGTTCATTTTGTTTGTTGAGACAGGGACTCCTTATGTAGTTCAGGCTGCCTTGAACTATGTAGTCCAGTCTGGCCTCCAACTGGTGCCTTAGCCTCCCAAATACTGAGATTACAAGTTGTTTCATTTCTGTGTTGTTATTGACATTTTTATTGTGTTTCTTATTTAACTGATGTTTGAGTGACTTAGCGTTTTTTACTAAATTCTGCACAGAGTAGCCAATGTTAGTAGCCTCTCATAAATTTAGGATGGTAAGTGACACTAACAGGGAAACATTGTGACCATGGCTCTACCACGTGAACATCCAACATGTTGCTTTCCAAGTTCAGCTATTTCATTTCGTATTTCAACTAGCTCATTATTCAAAGTTGGAGACTGCAAGATTCTCTAATATTTGCACAGTTGATTAAAAAGAACACAAAAATCGAGTGCAATGAAGCATTTAATTACTTTCATGATAGACAGTTATTTTGGGATAACTAAATGTGTCTGTCTGGGCTTGTTTTCCTATGTTGAAATTTGTATTCAGTCATAGCTTTCTAAGAAATCATTAACATGCAGACTACAGATGTATTCAGTCATACCTCTGCGCGAAAGCCAGTGTGGCTTTTTATGTGATTATAATTGTTTTAGTCATATGGAGGCTAATTTAAGTACGTATATTCAAGGAGCAATTTACACCTTATTTGAGTTTTATTCCAGAAACACTTCTGGAAACGTGGCTTTAAAGAGCATTGACCTCTAGATTGTCAGCATATCTTAAAGATCTTCTGCATTTGTTTCTACTCTTATTCTAGCAAGCATATACCTCATCAGCTTGTATTGATTAGTTGCTGGTTAGGTTCTTGAAAAAGCTTGTACACAGTGCTGTACGTCTTGTACAGAGGGCAACACCCACTGAAAGTATATTTTGAAAATATTTCATCCATTAAATTGGTGCATACGCTGTTGGGCTTTGGTTGAGGTTTTTTAGGGTTTTTTTGTTTTTTGCCTTGTTCTTTGCTCTTTCAGATATTACTGTTGCAGTCATTTTAAAAGAAGACATCTGCATTAGGTAACAGTACTCTTTCTACTGCTTTGGAGTAATCCAGGACTTGATATTTTTTGCCTGGGATATTTTACAAAAATAAGGATATTGTTATACAGCATGTGCTGTTATGTTACCTGAAGTTTTTAATTACCCGGGTGAGAGACAAGTCTTCATTGCAGAATAGACTCCATAGGCTTATTTTGTAACTCTAAAATCGGACTCACAAATCCTGTGTAAAATATGTTTCTTAAAAATGTCTTTATTTAGTGTTGAAGATGAAGCTGTGGATAAAGACGTTTTCAGAGATTGCAGCAAGATTGCTTTCTACAGGTATGGGAAATAAATATATCAAATGGATCAAAACATTTCTGACTGTATTTAAAAATTAATGGTTAAGTTTTTGAAAACTAGATAGACTAAGGACCAATTATGAAATTTAATGGGAGAAAAAGATTTAATGATTAAAGAATTCATTAGGATAGGAGACTAACCTTCTAACCTTATGTACTTACTACTATATAGTTAAAATTTTTAATAAATATATTCTAAATAACTGTGTTTTTAAACTAATTATTGAATTTCATATCTTTGAATAGATAATAGTTTTACATGGTTCAGAAATAATATAAACGGAAATATATCGTATCACCTTCAAACCTATTCTTTGTCCCTGTAAGGAACCAGATTTGTTAACTTATTTATTCTGCTAACATTTCTCTTGGTAAATACATATATTTTTATATCACCCCCTTTCTATACCAAATAGCTTTTTGTATACACTGTTCTATACATAAGGGTTTTTTTGTACTGTGTTATTGTTTCTTTTCTGAAGAACATTGCACATGAATAAAAGTTTGTTGCATTTTTATAGCCATTGGGTGGATGTACTATAATTTATTCTGTCTGTCTCCTCTGACTAAACCCTTGGGTTGCTTTTAATCTGCTATAACAGCACTGCTGTAATAAAGAACTGCATATGTCCTTTCCTACACCTACAGGTGTATTTATAAGGTAGATTTTGCGGACTGTTATTACCATATCAAAGACAAAATGCATTTGAAATATGTTAATTTGTAAAATTAATATTCACTAATAAAATTATAGTTTTATATAAAGGAATATATTAACTACTAGCAGATTTCCCTTATATAGATTATAGTATTTTGAATTCTCATCACTGTTCTATGAGATTGCCCATTTGCCTAGGGGGTCAAATAAGATGTTCCTAAAATCTTCATTTTTTTTTTTTTTAAGCCAGGTATGGTGGCATATACTTGTAATCCCAGCATTCAGGACGCTGAGGCAGGAGGATTGCCACATATTCAAGGCCAGCCTGGGCTACATTGTGAGTTCAAGGCCAGCCTGAACTGCATACTAAGACCCTGTCTCAAAAACTATAAATAAATAAATAAATAAAATATTATTTTTTAAATGTCTACCTTTATTTGATCCCCAAAAGTGAAATAATCAAAAACTATTTCATATATTTTAACTTTCTTATTTGCTCTCTATTCTAGAAGAATAAAAGCTTATCATTTTAATTCAGAACAGATACCTTAGGAAAAGTTGACAGTGACTGGTCACCTTGTTAAACATCTGGATTATACTGGACTTCTATTATAGAATCTATTGAGTTACTACTAAAGGGTCCATTTCATGAAAAAAAGGAAGAAAATTAACAAGCTCACAAATGTCATCTTTGAAAACTACCCCATCTTCTCAGTAAAGGAGAGAGGTTCCCATCCTTGAGCAGTGTTACATTGAATTTTTCATTAGCGTTCTTATTAATACTAATTTTATTAGCACTCTAATAATGTAGTACTCATTGCACTTTATGAGCATATAATCTATGCCCAGGTCGTATTTATTGTAGTGAATTTTAATGCCTTCTACGTGATAGTAGTCTCTTGGATGCTGCTGACAGTCACAAGTAGTCCTCACATGTGTATGTATACTCCATATCTACAGGCGTCAGAAAAAACAGCTCTCCAACAATTCCACCTATCGTGCGTTATTAGACTCAGTCACAACAGGCAGAGAGAGCACCACTTTCCAAATCATCAATGAAGCAACTAAGGTGAGGCAGAAATATCTTCTGTAGAGCAATTTGTTTCTATATTAATTTGAATTGAATGATGTAAATTTAATAGCTAATTAAAACTATGTATGCCTCAATACAAATTTTCTTAGGGAAGGAATGTCATCTTTTTTATACTTACATAACAGTACTATAATACTATTATGAATATAACATAGAAATTGCCTATGTATCAGATGTGTTTCTAGTTGATTTACAAAAGTTATTTCCTTCTTTTTGGTTTTTTTGAGACATGGTCTCACTATGTAGTTGAGACTGACCTGGAACTCACTATGTAGCCCAGGCTGGTCTTGAACTCACAGCAATCCTCCTGCCTCAGCCTCCCGAGTGCTGGGATTACAGGAGTGCGCCATCACGCCCGGCTACAAATGTTATTTCCTTTTAATTAGCCTTCATAATACACCAAGAAGTACATTGTGTTTTTCTCAATTGCCAGGTAAGGAAAATGAAATGTACAGTCAGTTGCCAAAGTTACAGAGCTGTTAACCAGAAAATCCTCCTGTATCTGTCAGACTCCATCAGACACCCATGCGCTTTCCACCATTATTGTAACACAGTTGTACATGCCACCTAATAAAGAACAGAGTCAATAACTGTCAGATTCACAGTGTGAGTGATAAAAGAAAGGTAAACGGACTATGCAGTAGAAAACCTGAGTCACAATATTCCATCTCCTGAGCTGCTTCACTAGAAGATCATCATAGCTATTGCATACTGAAAGGGTCACCGTAACATATCTAAGTACTTTTTCTCACCTGTCAGTTCCTCATGCTACTTCAGTTGTGCCACAGAGATGGGAAAGTGCTGTGGGCTCTGCTAAGAAGCATGACTGTGTGCAGTCACCTGATGCTGTTTACCTGACTCTCACTTCCAGATTCTTACCCATCTTTTACAAGCGTTTAAGCATGTGGGGCCCCAGGGAGCAATATGAATGAACTGGTAATTCTTATACCTGAAACAACACAGTTACACCTATGTAGTCCAGGCCCTCTAACAGTTTACACAAAAACTCAGGCAACTTACTAACAAGTCCCAGTTCTCTCTCTCTCTCTTTCTCCCTCTTTCCCTCCCTCCCTCTCTCTCCCTGGTACCAGGGATCGAACTCAGGATCTTGCACTTGGGAGGCAGGTGGCAGCAGAACCACTGGGTTAAATCCCCAGCCAACAATTCCCAGTTCTGAGACCCTAACTTTCACCTGAAAGCTGTGATTCCTAGCCTATGCTTAGGAATCTCATCAGGGAGTTCTATATAACATTTGGAAACTCAGGATCAGAAGAAGCACTTGGCTCTGGGAAATATAATGAGCCCACCAGAGGCTTTTCAGCAGACTTTAACTCTGCCATCAGATGTCAGGAATCTTCCTATCTTGTTTTTCTTCCTGTCTCCATGGTGCCTAATCCCAGAGAGTTGTAGTATTCATGATCGGGATAAGAATTTTCAAGCTGGGCTTGGTAATGCATGCCTGTTATCCCAGCACTTGGTAGGCTGAGGCAGGAGGATCGCCTGGAGCTCAAGGCCAGCCTGAACTGCATAGTGAGACCATATCTCAAAAAAAAAAAGAAAACTTCATTGGTCCTTCGTAGTATGTTCAGTCTCCAGAAAGATCCACTCTCATGAAGACACACTGAAGCAAAGTAAATCAGGCAGAATTATTTTTGAGTATCAGTTATGAGCTGAAATGAAAATTCTCAACACAGCTCAGTAGCAGTGCACTTATGGTAGACTCCTATGTGCCCTTTCACATGACTGCACATCATTTTCTGTCTTTGGATCCTGACTGTGTGAGAGACAGTGCTGTTTAGATCAGAAGTAGCACACCAGCTCCCTTCAGAGGGAAATAATTTACCATATGAGAAGACCCATGGGATCCCAATGCCAGATCCCATCTGACTCAGAAATTATCTGAGGTGTCAGCAACATAGCTCCCAAAGTTGAGAACTTTCTGGACCCCTTAGAATGGACTCCATACTCAAATATTGGAAATACCAGAGTTGCATAAGGAATCTGTGAACTCTGTTCTTAGGCAAATGTATATTTTGATAGTTCTCCCTGAACTTCAAGGCTACACTCTATTTTAATATTCTCTTTGTCATGTAGAATTGAAATGACTAATAGAGACTCAAGGTTCAATGCCTTCTTTTAGTCTAACAGGGACTGTGAAGATCCAGACAATAATCTCTGCATCCATCTCATTGCACAGTAATAGAATATTCCTTAAATGTTGTTTCTTGGATGAGTTGGGTGTTTCAAGGGTACTGCACATTAGGATATGGTACTAGTGTAGTCCAGAGATTTAAAGCAAAATATCTGCTTCATGAGAATGAAGCCTTTCATTTCAGATTCAGAGAGACTGAACCCAAAGCCTAACAGGATCATAATCAGCTCACAGCTCCAGTTCTCAGTTTGCACTGATAAGGCAGATTCTGATCAACCTCTTGTTGCCTGCCAGTCCCCATGCCTTTAAAATGCTTAAAACAATAATTTTGGAGTTGTCAGAATTTATTTTTAAATCCTTCTTTCAAATTCCCTTGCCCCAATCTGCCCCTTAATAAACAATTAGGAAACAGAATCAAGCTTCATTCAATAATAGTTTGCTTGGGCCGCCATAACAAAATGCCATAGATGGGGTGGTTTAAACAACAGACATTTGTTTCTCACATTTCTGATGGCTAGGAATTCCATGAACAAGGTGCCAGCACATTTGCTGTCTAATGAGGACCCTATTCCTGGCATGTAGGTGGCCTCCAGTGTAGATAGATAGAGACAAAGTAAACTGTGATCTGTTCCTATAAAGGTATAATCCAATTCTAAGGGCTCCACCCGCATTAACCCAAGCCTGATCCCTCCCAAAAGGCCCCATCTCCAAGTGCTACCACATTGGAGGGTCAGGGCTTTAACATGCAAACTTTGGAGAACACAATTTAGTCCATAGCAAATACAGTGTTCCTAAAACACAGTAATATTACAGACCAAGCTAAAGTATTGACCTCTATGCTGATCAGGACATTTGGGCTTGAGGAAATGCTGTAGCAGGTTGGGACGTTTATGTTTTCCCACAGAGTCCCACTATAGTCTTGTACTTTTTTTTTTTTTTCGGAGACATGGTCTCACTATGTAGTTGAGACTGACCTGGAACTCACTATGTAGCCCAGGCTGGTCTCGAAATCACGGCAATCTTCCTGTCTCAGCCTCCCAAGTGCAGGGATTACAGGCGTGTGCCACCATGCCCGGCTTTTGTACTTACTTCTGATGACAGAATAATCAGGTAGATATTTGATAAAGAAGATTCCAGAAGAAAATCTAAAAAGGAAACTGATCAGAAAACTGTTCACTGCTTTTTTCGTAACTTTCCCCCCTGCTATCAATTTTTTTTTTTTTTTTTTTTGAGACAGGATCTTGCTATATAGTTAGGCTAGCCTTGAACTCACTATATAGCCCAGGCTGGCCTCAAACTCCCAATGATCCTCCTGCCTCAGTCTCCCAAGTGCTGGGATTACAGGCATGCACCACCACACACGGCTATCATCAGTTTTCTATCTTCAGAGAAAATTTAGCCTGGATTGAGAAACAGAAGATCTTGCTTGTGACGTTAGTACAGAGAAATTTCTGCTGTCTCCTGAGTTTGACCAGAAATCACTGCTAGCCAGGCTGTCAGCAGCAGTCTTTTATCTTCAGTCTACTTTATATTGCTGGTTTTGATGATTTCTTATTATAGAGATGACCACTTAACCACTGTATTCTGCAGCCTGATTTCAAGGTTTAACCAGAGACAGCATTTCTAACTGCCTCCTTGAGAATGCAAGGGTTTCTCTGAGCCCTTCGTGAAATTGTTGCTTTCACCTGCCCCTAAGCAGGATAGAAATGAGACTTTGCCCAACCAGTCATCTCCTCAGTAAATGAAGCACTGCTATACTTTTTTAGCAAGTAGTTTCTGCTGAAATTTCAGAAGTACACCTGGACTGGCTAAATTGTCTTGGGGAATAGGCTAATACCCAGTATAAGGTCACCAGGATTCTGCACAAAAAAATTAGTATTTAAACCAGTTGGACACAACTATGGAAGGGGCAGTTAGTCTCCCACAACAAATCAATGAACTCATGAGTCCTGGGAGGTCTTGGTTAGTAGCTGGGGGAGGTGGTCACTCTCTCAGGGCTTTAGAGATGCAGAATGGAAGTATAATAACAAAATTTTATTTTGTCAACAAAAGGCCAGATCGCACTAACAATATACAAATCATGGTAACAAGACAATTAACTTTCAACCCAGATGTAGCAATTCTTTTTAGTTAGGGGAGTTTACCTTTAAGATTTGCCTATCTATTGCTGGGCATGGTGGCACATGACTGTAATCCCAACACTCAGGAGGTTGAGGCAGGAAGATCACTATGAGTTCGAGACCAGCCTAGGCTACATAGTTCCAGGTCAGTCTCAACTACATAGTAAGACCCTGTCTCAAAAAACCAAAAAAAAAAAGATTTGCCTAGCTATCTATCCTAGTCCATAGGAAGGGGGTGTTCAGGGTCAGGAAAACAAATGTTAAAAATGGTTCTTCAGAGCTCAGGGTTTTGATGTGCCCTGTTATCTCAGGATGAGATCAAATGCCTCATTCAATGGTTAATGACTCTGGTGTCTGTTAATTCGGACTTCAACAAAGCAAACTGCTCTTAGGGACAGCAGAAGCCACTCTACGTTGTGACATTTTGTAGGTTTTGCTATTTACAACAGTTTTCTCTATCAAGATCTGCCCATCAAGGAGGAGTTGATGGAGTCATAATGGCCTGGCTGCTCCTATTAGTGACTTTCATGACTCACCTCAAAAATGCTTTCAGAGTGTCCACATTCTAGGAAACAGGTTTTCTGCAAAATCAGTAGAAGCTCCATTCCTCAGAGAAGCTTTTCTGTTTTTGTGTTTTTAATGAATCTCTTTTGTTGTTTTTGGTACTAGAAAACTGGGGATGGACTTAGAAGCTTCTACAGACTAAAGGATCCTAGTGGAGACCTGAGCTTTCTGTGACAGCCCAGGAAAATTGCCACACTTGCTATCTTAAATTAATCCAGTGAAAGTGTGCTCCAGGACAGTGCTTCCCTGGGCCTCATCACAAGCAGAACCCAGTGGTCAGTGGCTACTTTGGCTCTAAGTCATTGTCAAAAGTGAGATTTCACAACTGTTGCATAAAAAGGATGACAAAATTAGCAGCTCCACACAGCACACATTTTTTATCACGTAGTTCTGTGTATCTGAAATCCTGCAGAGATTATAGGTCCTCTACTCTTTTGGGGCTGTGATGTAGGTGTCTAAGAGACCAGAGCCACATGAGGGGACAAATCTGCTCTCAAGCTCACTTGGTTGTTGGCAGAGTTTCAGTTCCACATGGGCCGAAGGGCTGAGGACCAGGCACCCTGGGTACTGTGTAGAGTTCTGCCCAGATATCAGGAAGCACTGATGTCTAAAGATGCAGAAATATCTTTCTAAAGAAAGCAAAATCAGTCTTGAAAAGGAAAATTCATTATCTACTGACATAGATTTCTTTTCCTGTGCTAGTTCTTTTTGTCTCAATTCTTAAATTACTCTTTAGCTTCCCTGCTGCTAGAAGATTTCTTGATGGACCATGACATGGAAGCAGGTTTTGATCTCGAAATATGGTCACCACCAGTAGTTTGATGATATTTTAGACCTTCCTTGCTGGCTGGGTTGTCTGGTTGCATACTTCTGCCGAGGTCCCTGAAGGTCTCTGGGTTGCTAACACCTCCATTGTCTGGTGAGGCCTCCCAAAGTTTGGTACAGTTCTCCTGGCTTGGCTCACCAGATGCTACAGTTGAGTGGGCTAAACATAGTCCAGGCTGTTGTGTATGCCAAGGATAGAATTGCTAAGTGTACGCTTCAGGGTATGTAGTAAGTAGCTACATGTATTGAAGATCACAGCATGGTAGCAGAAACAGGAAGAGAGGCATAGGAAAAAGCGTGAAGCAAAAAAAAAGGACTTGAAGGCAAAAGGAGAAAGGGACTCAAGTACAAAGGCGGGAAAAAATAAGTTCTCAATTTTATCAACCTCTCTTGCATAACCTACCTTCTTGATATATTTTTTCATTGTCATTTCCAAGCATCACTAAATGAAGGAAGAGATTTGTCAGTTTACTTGTTCATAAATATCCAGATAGTTCCATAGCAAATGAGAATAAGAATAGATAGAAACTCTCAGTGTTTTACATAGACTTTTTGAAAGAAAAAGTTTGTGAGGAAAGGATTGGGCAATGACTCAGTTAAGAAGCCTCAAGGAAGTGATTTGCAAACTCATCCACAGAGTGCTAAGGTTTCCATGAAACTACTCAAATTTCAGTGCAGGAAGCGGGTGGGGCTCAAGATGGAGTCCTGGGACTCTTCCCACTGCCCTCATCCAAGTAACTCTACTTATTAGACTTTTTGAAATATGAATACATATACATATACCTTCTTTCTTTCTTTCTTTTTTTTTTTTTTTTAGGCAGGGTTTTTTGAGTCCAGGCTGGCCTTGAACTCACTATGGAGCCCAGGCTGGCCTCAAACTCATGGCAAGTCTCCTGCCTCAGTCTCCCAGGTGCTGGGATTACAGCATACATCACCACACCCAGATTTAAATGCCCTGGTATTTCTAAAAATTAAGCTAATAGAAAATACAGCATTAACCAGATCATAAGAGCACATACATATTAAGATAAGGGAGGGCCAGAGATTTTGCTCAGTGGGTCCAGCTCCTGCTTTGCAAGCATAGGGACCCAAGTTTGATCCCCAGTACCAAAAAAAATAATAATAATAATAATAACAATAATAATAAAAAGATCTAAGGGAATTATGTACCTAGAACAGTGGTGGCAAACCCATGGTATGTATATTATTTTTCTTTTAAGATGAAAGATGTTAATGTATGAGGATTTTCCCCTAAACTAAAACTTCAGTATTCAGGATTAATTGCAGTGTTGACACTTTGTAATAAATAAGTGTATTTTGAGTTGTAGTTTGGGCACTTGTCTCTGAAAGGTTCTGAAACAACAGAATGTACAGAGCCATCTTCATTGTTTCTTTTTTAAAAGAAAGATTTTACTAAAAAGAGAATTTTCAGGTGGGGGATTTAGCTCAGTGGTGCCACACCTGCCTGACAAGCTCAAGATCCTGAGTCCGATCCCCAGTTCGATCCTGAGTACATAATTAGATGCAGTTTGTTAATCAGGCAGGCAACCTATGTGCCTTGTGCTTAGGCAGTTGTTGCCCATTTTTACTTTCCTAAAGTCTTAATAATCCGTTGAAAGCCTCCTCTAGAGAGATGTCCAGAACGTCTCACCCTATAATCTTCAGTAGTCTCCTTCCTTGTTCTTTCTTCTGTACTGTACTTGTCCTTCTGCCTTAGATTTACCATAAAATGCTTTACATAAACTTTGCATCTATTTTGTCTCCTCTAAATTACAATCTTTCCAAGAGATTAGTCATTCCAATATTAAATGCCAAATCAATGTTAGCTGAATTGAACTTAAGAGAATGGAAATATGTATCTAGGGAGATGATATTATTAATCTGATAGAATTTCAGCTTTATTCATATTTAGACACATTTTCAAATGTTAAGATTCCGAACTTAATGTTAAGATTGCACACTTAGAACAATTCAAATATGCAAAAAAATTAAACATGAAAACAGTAATTATAGTACAATCACTACTATAATATAATCCTCGAAGTGCCTTTCAAGCATCCACAGCCATAGTACTTATTTAGCTTGTTATTCTTCAGTATCATATTACTGTTTTGTTTTGGTTTTGGTTTTGGTATCTGATTGAACTTGGGTCCTTGCGCTTCCAAGGTAGGCCACCGAACTGCTGAGCTAAATCCCCAGCCCCTCATATTACTATTTAAATGATCTCTCCTATCCTAAAGAGGCAAACTTCCAGTAACATTTCTTATTTTGGTGTTCCTTGATATTTTCCATGCTTCCTACCTCTTGCTTCCACCACATTGTACCTACCCAGCTTAGCCTTTGTTATAGCAGACATAATAATAAAGGTCCCCATTTATACCCAAAACTCGAATCATACTTCATGAAGAATTTGCAGTAGACCATTATGGCATGGCACAAGTGAAAACCATGGTATATTGATGACTCATTTTGTAACCTGAATCTGACCATTTCTGTTCTCCTGGGGTTTGTTCATCTTGTTTTGTGTTTTATTTTTCAGATTTACTCTTCATATTTCTATGTCACATATATCATCCATTATAGGCGAAATTTTGCATAGATATCCAAGCCCATTGAAAATGTACTCTGGGCCTATTCCCAGTTACAAGTCTTTTGGTTTTAAAGTGGCAAGCTTCATTTCATCCTCTACTAGAAAACCCCAACCGTCATCATGTGACTCTTTTCTTTCTGTAGCCTTCTATCGTTCCTTTTTCATTCAGCTGGAATCTAGTTGGTCTGGTTTTAACACCCTGTTATTCTCACCTCATCTATAGTGCATCATAGATACATATATCCTAATTGTCCAAGACCTATTTCAGCTTGCGCCTGGTATCCAGTGTAGTAATTATTAATAGATCCCTTTCACTGTACAGATTCTGTCATAGACGAGTATATGTTAACTCATCCATAGAACACACCAAAGGTATTTCTTTTGCAATCAGAGGTATAACTGAGCAAGTACCTACGTAGATTGGGGAGTTGCTTGTTTTATTATTGCCATTGTTCACCAATTTGTTTGGCTTATAATAATGTAAAATTATTTTTCTAATTATTATAATTTGACAACTAGAACAAATTACTATTGGGGTGCTCTTTTGAAGCTAATCTTACGTATCTGTTCCCAGCTTCCTCTCCTTGCTGAAGTTTATGGTATAGAGAGAAACATTCTCAGGCTTAAAATCAATGAAGCAACTCCATTGAAACCCAGGTACGAGGTTTCTGATGTCCTCATCGGCAAGCTGAGCACTACAAGGTGAGCCAAGGAACAGGTATCATAGATTCACACTCAGTATGTCTTTTATTACACCTTGAGTAGATTTTGTATGCACCTCCTACTTCACCCATTCAAATCTGCAATCATTTTCAGGGCTAATATTCAATTATATGAAGATAAATGTATCAGTGTTGTACGTTATATGTTTTGGATTTTCTTCACCCACTATTTGACTCATCAGTACCTATTAATGGAGAAGGTAGAGCTTTGAGGCCTGTCCTCCTTCTCACAGTAAAATCATTTTATTAGCCATACTTTTGAAGCAAGTCTCAGGAAATCTACATACTCACTCAGATTAGCAGCGCTGCTCCAGAGACCTAATATACTAGTCAAACCCCATGCTTATAGCTATTTACAGTATATAGTTAGACTGACTTAATTAAGGGTATTCTCAGGAGTCTAAAATGTAATTTTACTTAGAGTCAGAGATAAATTTATAATCAGTGTCTAGGTGAAAAAAATCATTAGGGACTAAAGCATTTTTAAGTACCTACAAAATCTTCTTCAGTTTTCCCTATACTTTCCCATTAGTCTTCAGTTTGGTCTGTCTGGCTTATTGACTTCTGCTTTTTTCTTGTTATTATTTCACTAAGGGAATATAAGATTATACCAGATACTTTACTATTAATTGTTTCACTATGATTTTATGCAGATTATTTTCCCATGAAAATATAATAAAAGTTAATAAGTAAAAAGGAGAAGTTTATTCAGTTACAGTAGAACCATCATAAATTTAATCTATTCACTGCCAACAACATGGGAAACAGGAATTAAAAAGAGATGTTCTGATGGCTTTGCAATTTTACAAGTCAGTCATTGCATATATATAACCATGTGACCAAAATATATTTGGGAGGATTATCTTTGCTAGTAGATCTGGTAATAATTTCATATCTGTGTCTATAAGTAAAATTACTCTAATTTTTTATGTGCCATCTTTGCTATGTTTTAGGGCTAGAATAATACAAGTTTTGTTTGATAAATATGATCTATTGGTCTGTTTTTGTTCCCACATCTTTCTAGAGGCCTTGACTACTATGGTAACTAAAAAGCTAAAAATTACATTTCTCCATTTCTCAAACTCCCTCGTAGCTAGAGTTTCTAATATAATTAATTCTGTTTCCACCAATTATATACTCTTACAGAAAATTTCATCACTTGACTCCCTGTTCTGTTTGTATAGATCTGACAGCTGTAGACTGGCTCTGCTCATTAGTTAGGACCATAGTTTCCTGATCTTCATATTACAGCTAAAATAGCATGATCCTGGAGCATTTGCCACAGTGACCTCTTTTTTTCCAGTTTCCTGATTCTAGTGGAAATAGTTCTGTTATTTATACAGCTGTGCAGTTTTTATTTTTTGTTTTTATTTCTTGTTTTTTTT